TCGAGTTTTATCATGAAAATACAGATAGTCGAGTTTTTTTTATGGAAATACAGTAATTCAAGTTTTTGCAGAAATACAGTAAATCAAGTTTTTTTATGGAAATACAGTAAGTCGAGTTTTTGTTAAAATATAGTAAATCGTGTTTTTTTTACAGAAATACAATAAATTGAGTTTTTGCGGAAATACAATAAATTAAGTTTTTTTTGTTGAAATACAATAAATCGAGTTTTTTTATAGAAATACAATAAATCGAGTTTTTTTTTGCGAAGATACAGTAAATCTAGTTTTTTTTCCGAAATACTGTAAATCAAATTTATTTGCGAAAATACATTAAATCGAGTTGTTTTTCAGAAATTCAGTAAATTGAGTTTTTGTCGGAAATACACAAAATTGACTTTTTATTGGAAATATAAAAAATCAAATTTTTATGAAAATACAAAAAATCGTTTGTTTTTCAAAATACAAAAAAAAATGAATATATTTGAATTATTTTTTTGGATAGATGAATATCTATCAATTAAAATGTTGTTAATGAATGAATTAGATGAATTTTTTATGCTTAATGAATGAATTGAATTTGATATTTTTAAAAAGTTTTAATAGATTGTTAATGAATTAATAAATTACTTTAATCTATTTATCAATAATCAAATCCATATCCCTCCAATCCATCTATTTTACCGTCTCTAAAATTTCTCTTGAATATGTAGCATCTATTACATATATTAGAGAGGGAAGAATCTAATAGATAAGTTGCCTAATGGTTACGTTTGTCCTAATCGGCAATTGGGATAGCGGTTTTATTGATTTTGTTGACTTAGGGATTCAATAACTTTAATTTTGTATTATGACAGATAAATGCACGATATATAATAACACAACTTTCTTAATTTTCACACTTTGCAATTGCATCCATTTGACACCAATGATAGTTTTCACACTTACACTAATAGTGGGAAAGGGGGAGCTTATACTCCAGTTAGATTAGACAAATCAACCCTCTACTTCTTTCTTAGTTTTCACAGTTACACTGTGGATTTTATTAGACCTTTTAAATTCTTTAAAATATGGAATACTAATGACACATGCAGGAAACTTGTACCAGATCATTGAAATTTATCGATTGTGATTATCCTTTGCATATTTGATATCTAAACCGAGGTCCCTTAAACCTATGTTAATAACAAAGTATTTTAATTAATAAACAATAAAATAATTATTTCTTTTGAACTTCC